CTGGGTGACAGAGTGAGACTCTGTCTCTAAATGAATACATAGAAATAAAAAAAAAGAAGGGGATAGGACAATGACTTTCCATATAGAAAAAAATGAAATTTGTATATTTTTACAAAAATTATATATAAAAAAATGAACTCAAAGTCGATTAAGGACTTAGATATAAGAGCTAAAATCAAAATTCTTAGATGAAAACGTAGAGGTAAATCTTCATGACCTTGGATATGCCTATTTTTTTTAAACTATAACACAAAAGCCAAGCAGTGAAATATTAATAAATCAGACTTCATCAATATTAAAAACTTTTGTGCATCCCAGGGAATTATTTTTATCTATCTATCTATCTATCTATCCATCCATCCATCCATCTATCTATCTGTTTTTTTAGACAGAGTCTCACTGTGTTGCCCAGGCTGGAGTGCAGTAGCCTGATCTCAGCTCACTGCAACCTCCACCTCCCAGGTTCAAGCCAGTCTCCTGCCTCAGCCTCCCAAGTACCTGGGACTACAGGTGGGAATTATTTTTTATTTATTATCAGTTTTTTTGAGACAGAGTTTCGTTTTTGTTGCCCAGGCTAGAGTGCAATGGCTCAATCTTGGATCACCTACACCTCTGCCTCTGGGGTTCAAATGATTCTTCTGCCTCAGCCTCCTGAGTAGCTGGGGCTACAGGCATGCACCATCTGCTTGGCAATTTTTTTTTTTTTTGTATTTTTAGTAGAGATGGGTTTCTCCATGTTAGTCAGGCTGGTCTTGAACTCCTGACCTCAGGTAATCCACCCGCCTTGGCCTCCCAAAGTGCTGGGATTACAGGTGTGAGCCATCAGGCCAGCTGCATCCCAGGGAATTATTAAGAAAGTGAAATGGCAACCTTCATAATGAAAGAATATATTTGCAAATAACGTATCTGATAAGGTTTAGTATCCAGAATATATAAAGAACTCTTACAACTCAATGACAAAAAGGCAAACAACTGGCCAGGTGTGGTGGCTCATGCCTGTAATCTCAGCACTTTGGGAGGCCGAGGCTGGTGGATCATGTGAGGTTAGGAGTTCAAGACCAGCCTGGCCAACATGGTGAAACCCTGTCTTAAAAAAAAAAAAAAAAAAAAAGGCAAACAACTCAATTAAAAATGGATTAAAAAGTTGAATAGACATGTCTCCAACACATGGCCAGGTAGCACATGAAAAGATGTTCAATGTCATTAGTCATTAGGAAAATGTGTATTAAAACCACAATTGTCTGGGCATAGTAGCTCACACCTGTAATCCTAGCACTTTGGGAGGCTGAGGTGGGAGGATCACTTGAGCCCAGGAGTTTGAGACCAGCCTGGGCAAAATGGTGAGACCCAGTCTCTACCAAAAATACAAAAATCAGCAGGGTATGGTGGCATGCACCTGTCATCCCAACTACTCAGAAGGCTGAGGTGGTAGAATCACCTGAGTCCAGTAGGCCAAAACAGTAGTGGGCTGTGATGGCACACTCCAGCCTAAGCTACAGGGTGAGACCCTGCCTCATAAAAACAAAAACAAAAAACAAAAGAATACAAAAGCCATAATGAGGTGCTACTTCACGTCCAAATTGCCAGTGGAAATATAAAATAGACCAGCTGCTATGGTAAACCAGTGGTTCTTCAAAAAGATAAACATTAATTATCATTTGATCCAGCAATTCATTCCTGGGTTTATGTTCAAAATAATTGAAAACAGATGTTCAAATAAATGCTTATACATGAATTTTCTTTTCTTTTTTGAGACAGAGTTTTGCTCTTGTTGCCCAGGCTGGAGTACAATGGCGCAATCCTGGCTCACTGCAACCTCCTCCTCCTGGGTTCAAGTGATTATCCTGCCTCAGCCTCCCAAGTAGCTGGGACTTACAGGTATGCACCACCACACCTCGCTAATTTTTTGTATTTAGTAGAGATGGGGTTTCATCATGTTGGTCAGGCTGGTCTCGAACTCCTGACCTCAGGTGATCCACCCACCTCAGCCTCCCAAAGTGCTGGGATTACAGGCGTGAGCCACCACACCCAGGCATGAATTTTCATACAGTACTATTCACAGTAGACAAAAGATGGAAACCACCGGAATACCCATTAATGGAGGGAAGGATAAACAAAACGTGGTCTATACATACAGTGGAATAGTATTGTTAGAAAAGAATGAAATATTTATATATGCTAGAACTTGAGTGGACCTCCAAAATATGGTGAATGAAAGAAGCCAGACACAATAGATCATATACTGTATGGCCTCATTTATATGAAGTATCTAGAATAAGTAAATCTATAGAGACAGGGAACGGATAGGTGGTTTCCTGGGGCTGTGAAAGTGAAGAATAGGTATTGACTGTTTAATGGGTACTGGATTTTCTTTTGGGATGATGAAAATGTTTTAGAGCTTGATAAAGGTGGTGATTGTACAAAATTGTGAATATACTAAATGTTACTGAATTGTACACTTTAAAATGTCTAATTTTATGTTAAGTGAATTTCACTTTAATTTTTTAAAAGAGTATAAAGCACATCTCTGACACAAAAACTTTGGGATATGTGACAAGTAGAGAACTAGACAACATGTATAAAATAAAAGGCTGAGCTTAGTAGTGTCAGAGTTGTGAGAATATTATTTAATTGCCCTGATAGTGAATTTCGGGCATTCCTAACAATTTCCAAACCCAGGCTATGTTTATTTAGTTTGTTGGGGTTAATGACAACTTTAAAAATCTATGTTTCCAGGCCGGGCGCGGTGGCTCAAGCCTGTAATCCCAGCACTTTGGGAGGCCGAGGCGGGTGGATCACGAGGTCAAGAGATCGAGACCATCCTGGTCAACATGGTGAAACCC